TACTAGTCTATTCTATTATTATATCTAGTAATTTCGAGGATTTCTTCTTATTATTATAAGTAATTAAGAACCCTAATTCATTTTAGACTTTATAAATAAACTATTAAGATTAACTAAAACTAAGCTAAAGCTCTTAATTATAGAATATATCTAAACTAATAGATAAATAGAAATTATTAATTAGATTATTAATACTCGACTTTATTTCTCTATTAATTATTTCTAGGATAATTAAGTAGATTTATTTCTAGTATTTAATACTATAGGCACTGCCTACCTATATAAATTAACTGGCTTATTTCCCTTAATAATTAATTACGAATATAAACTCAGGCTAAACTTTAACTAGATACTACTAATAATAGAGTTTAAAATACCGAGAAAGAAACTTAATTAGGAAGAAGTATAATAATAAGTTAAGAGAATTAATATTATTATTAATTACGCGCGAGAATATATAGTAATAGTTCAGGAGTATTAAGCTAAGTAAGCTAATAAGAAATAGCGAGAACTAGATTTTAGTTTAGGAGATATAATTTATATAATTAAAAAGATATAGAAAACGGATTATTTATCTAATAAATTAGATTATTTTCTTATTAGACTATTTAAGATTAATAAAATAATTAGCTATTTATATTAATTAGACCTTTTCCTATTATATAGAATTTGGCTAATTTTTTATATAAATAGATTTTATAAGAATTCTACTAATTCATTACCTAGCTAAACTAATAAAGAGCCTAGTTTTATTAAAATTAATAGTAAATTCAAATAAGAAGTCAAAAAGATCCTCTTTTCTAAGGTACTTTATAGTAAGCTTTATTATAAGATTAAATAAAAGAAATAAGATATAAATAATAAATAGTATCTTATATTAAACTTTAAGAACTTAGTATTTAAATTATATAAATTCTATAAGTAGAACCTCTTATCTAGCTAAATAAATGAATTTAATATACTAAAGAAAACGAGTTTAATAAAGACTATCTAGATAATAATAAACCTTAATAATAAGGCTTCTATAATTAGAAAAGGAGAAGAAAAACCTAGATATTTCCCGGGTTTTATCTAAACTCTAGTATATTTCTTTTATTTTATTATATTAGTACTTATTTTCTTTTTTAGAAATCTGGATAAAATATCTTTCTTTATTATATTAGATTATACTTTATTATCTAGACGAATTATAAAAAAAAAGTAAATTCTTAAAGCTAAGCTAAAGGTAAATACTTGCTTATATTAGTTTAAAATATTATTAAAAATCGAGAGAAATCTTTCTAATTACTTTAACCTTTATAATCTTAACTATTTATATTATTACTACTATCTTAATAGAACTATTAATAAAGACGAAATAGATAAGAAATCCTAATAATATATTATTTATAGCCGGACTAAGTAAGGCTACTTGCTAGATTCTAAATAACTTGAGTAATAGTAGTAATATCTCAAGTTTAGTAGCTATTATTATTATTAATATAACTACTAGCCAAACTACTTTTATAAACGAAAATAGTAATTCCTTTACTTAAGAATAGGTTAATATATAAAATATAGCTTATATTATTCTTGAGAATATATCTAAAATTGCTATAGAGAATATCTTAGTAAAATATTCTAAAAATAATAAAATAGAGGTTTTGGTTAATAGTAATAATAAGTCTAATAATTAAATAGGCAGAATAGATAATACTAATAAGGGCTATCTTATTAACCTTTTAGAGCCAAATACTAAGAAGATTAAAAAGAATAAGGCTAGCTTATCCAAGAAATATAAGGTATTAGATAATAGCAAGAATTCTAATAATAAAAAGACTAAGAACGGAAAGACTTCTAGTAATAAAAGAAACTCTAACTATAATAAAAGTAGCTAAACTAGTATTAAGATACCCGTTATAACTAGAAAACGTATGGTATTAAGTAGTAATTATTATATAAAGTACTAGTCTGAAACCAAGAGCTAGTAAATAATTCTAAAGGCCGAATTAAAAAAGTAATACCTTATAAATATTAATAAATTAGTATATAATATTATTTAGGAAGTCGGAAAACCTCTCAGAAGCTTTTATAAAACCAAAATCATATAGTTTAAGGCCCGGGGATTTAATAATAAAGTAGCTCAAGTGGCTGCCCTTAATATATAAGTCTTTATTATAGAGAAATAACTTGAGAATATATATATTAAGCTTAAGAAGGCCCAGAAATTAATTAAGTAGCTCAGAAATAGTATAATTAAGCCAAATATTACTATCCTAACTAAGAAAAAAGGCAAGTAAGCTATTATATTAAAGCCTATATTAATAGATAGATTTGATCTATTATTCCTATTCAAAAACCGCCTAATAATAATAGTTCTAATATTAGCTATAGCCTATATAGTATTTCCAGACTATATTATTAATATAAGTATAGGTATAATGCGAGTAACGGATACTAAGAGCTAGCCGGAATATACTAGGAACTAGGTTATTCTAGTAAAGTTAAGACTATACTTTAATTATAAGTAAGCTATAGGAATTAGACAGAATAGAATTAATGGCCGTTATTTCCTCTTTTTTCTTTTCTATACTATAGCTAAATAATTCCCTAAATAAGGGTATTTAGACTTCTCTTTAGGGAGGGAGTAATATAATAGCTAGTATAAGGGCATGATTTATTAAGGACAGGATATCGGAAATAGGTATAAAATAAAGCTAAGCCGGAATTATTTAAACGGAATAATATTAAAGGTTAAGGCATCCTCTTTACTTTATTTCATAGCTTAGTATTTTCTAATATATGAGATTCTTTGAACTTTAAGCCTTTGACTATTATATTAATCCCGCCGTTATACTATTATAAAAAATCTTAAAATCTCAAAATCTTTAATTTTTATTTATTAATTTAATTTAAAATATTTTTAATATTACTTTTTATTAAATATATATATAAATTACTTTATATAAGAGTATTATATAATGTGAGGCACGAAATAGCAGGGTAATATACAAGTAGTTAAGGTAAGTAATGTGAGAGGGAAACTGTGGTAAGACAAAAACCCATATAAAGTATATTAGAGCGCAAAACGTGACTTGATAGCAAAATAACAGGAATAAAGGCATAAGTAGTAAAGTATAAATAGTGTGTAATGTGTAAAAGCTCAATTGATTGAATATGAAGGAGGGATTATTGTCTAGAACTATAGAAAAGCCAGCTTTCTTATGTGATTCCCGAAAGTCACGTGCAAAAGGCCCCAGCCTTTGTCATGTGACCAAAACCTCAAAACTGCCAAAACAAAGCGATTTTGATAGAGTACGGCTTGCCGTACCATAGTAAGCTTTAGAGTGACGCTTGCAAGTGTAACTGATTTCCAAGAGTTGATTCTAACAAAAGACTAATTGATGCCCCTTTCCAAAGCTAGGAGCGTCTCCCTACATATTCCCTAGTGCTTAGCCAAGCGTGCGAAGCCCTTTACTTAATTAGGAAATGCGATTCCATGCGATTCCGATGCAAGCTTTACTTAAAATAGGAAACTAGATCCACGATATCTGACACCCGTCCATGCACCATCACGTGTGCCCATCACATATAAGTACTTATAAAATTATTTAAGGAATTATTTATATATTTATTTTAGTTTAGTTATATATTAAATTAATATAAGTAATTAAAAAATATAACTTGTTAGTAAGTATATTTATAAAGGGATTACGCTTATTACTTGAGGAACTATAGAGTTATATGCTTTAAAGTTTGGGGTATTATTCAGTCACGTGACGAACGCATATCGGGACACATGCATCCGAGTTGTGTGTATGCCAATCCACAATACAGCATGCTTCCCGAAGTCTAGAACGAGAATATTCCGAGAGAAGGATCATCGGATCTCAGCTCGTTCTGACAATCATTGGGGATGTTTCAACTGGATTGACGGTAGCGATAGGGGAGTCGGGTCATTCGTGTTTGGCTTGGTGAAGCCATAACAGGAATTAGTAGAGACTCAGGACCGTACTGCAATCCTCACGCTTCATTGACGTATTTCACAGGAGCCTGAGCCGAGCATCACATGAAAGTTGGTGTTTCGAGCCCCTGTCGTTGCCTCACAAAGGGTGTAGTGTGATACGATGCGAAGGATTCTGGTTGGGCTCGTACGTAAAGTGATGGCTGCCAGAACTCCCCCACCTTCTGGGGGCGAATCGCCATACGGACCGTACGGCCTGCCATGGCCGCATCGAGCCCCTTGCTTTCCGGCGCCAGCTGAGGCCCCAAAAGTGCCCAAAGCTGGTTTAATCGCGCTTCCTTTTCTTTTTCAAGAACCACGAGTCGCCTTCCTCTCTGCCTTGATACAGAACGACCTGCCCGTATCAACGAGACAGCCTTGTTGCCTGATATTCCCAAGCCTCATCATGCAAGCTTTCAGCTCCCATTTGCTTTCCAGGCCACGAGATTGCTGACCCTTAGTAGTAACTTGTTGCGCAACCCAACCCCTCATCCAAACCACAGATGTCTTCGCCCTCTCCAACAACCGCGCCTGCGCAGAACGAGCGACATCAGCCCTGGACTGCTATCTGGCCGAGTGCCACAGAATCTCAGCCCCAGAATGCGAATGCACAAGGCCTCAACTACAACTTCCAGAAGGGCGAGAGAATGGTGATCGATGGTAGCGCTCAGAGAGGCAATAACTTCCTCGGGGGCTCATGGCAGGTGGAGGCAGAGAGCAACAAGCCATCCGGGGCGGGCAATGTTGTTTGATGGCGCTGGTGTTCATTTCAATAACGCAATGTTACAAAGCTGCATTAGGCTGGGATAGCTTGGCGGCGAACGCAGTCTGGCTTTCTCCTGCCGATGTATTCTTGGCCGTCACAGTCAGTCAATCGATAGGATCGCAAGCATAAGGTAGGAATTTACAATGAGAAGGTTAGGTGAAACATAGAGCCACAAAGTCCATCGTGAGATTAGACTCTCGGCGTTGCCCCTCGTCCTCGTAGCCGCTCCGTGCATGACCTTAATCGTACTCATCATTGAGATGTTTCATAGAACAACAGTGCTCGCAATTCAATGCTCTCACGAGGCGGATACTCTCCAAGGATGACCTCAGGAATGGGGATGGCAACATGCGGTACTATTTCTGTCGGCGGTCTGGCTCAACCAATCGTGGGGAACATACTCACCAGGTACGGCTCCAGGCTGTGTGTCCGCTTGCAGGAAGATCCAAGCCTCGTTCGGCATCTGATCGCTGAGATAGAACCATTTCTGCTTGTCCGTATGATATATTTGCATGTTTTCGACGACGTAATCAGCGTAGACTAGATCGCATGGCTCCAGGTCTTCAGTGGGATTGATGCTCCCCGCAGAGCATAGGGCAAGAGGCCAGTCTTTCACTGGTCCCTTGATCGGCTTCCATACACTACGGTTAGTCAGCTGAGACCGGCCTTGTGGTGTGCTGGTGGAATTAAACCTACTTCACGCACTGCACTCGATGCTTGAGCATTTCCTCTGACCGTTCCGGGTTGAGTCGGCTGACCATCGACAATACCCATTCGAGTGTTGTATCTGAAAAGGACTGTTAGCTTAATTCGTATGTGTTGCTCTCCTGACCCCCCTCACAGCTGAACCGGGTGGCAGGTGTACATACCCACGTGAGTGACCGAGGTAGGTTGATCATACTGATACGACTCCCCCGTCGCAAGAGGGAATTTTACGTGCCTCTTCCGCACCCGATGCTCGAATATCTGCACTTTGCTGGCACCGAAATAGTCCCTCAAAAGGTTGGCGACTTCTCTCAAGTAGACATCCTTGACTTTCTCCTCGTCGTAATAATCGTCATACTCCATCAACGACTGAAAGTCAAGTACAGTGCATCCTTCTGTCGCGTACGATAGTGGTCCTGCTGTCCGTACATCTTGAACATCGATCTCGTGCTCCTCGAGTTTAGTACTCTGGCGCGGAAACCCTTCTGGGGGAGAAAAACGAAGGGAGTATGGTTTCTCCGTCTTGTACAGCTGGTTGCGTTCGAGGAAGTGGGCGGTCGTCTGTATCATGTTTGTGCCCATGGCGATAAGACTCTCGCAATACCACTGATGTGAGTCCCTCTGGCTCCCGAGATGCAAATAAGAGCGAGTTGTTGAAGATGAGTGAGGTGGATATTTTTAGTTCGCGTTCGCGTTCATGCCCAAGCGACATGACTCGGACATGACGCTAACCCCGAATTTGCTGACTCGGCTCGGGAAGGCAGCCCGCGAGGACTAACCACACCCCAACACCCACCTGACACAAGTCAATTCTTTTACATTTAATAAAACCCAAGTAAAAGGTGTAAGGCTTCTTCTCGCACTCCGGGGGCCAATTTACTTTTCATGGCCACGACTCTGTATCGGCGGGGAGCTGCTACCCTACGATTTGGAGCATCGCTCCTCAAATCGAGGAGAATCTCGAGGCAATGCAGTCTGAAAGGATCTGTAGTATCATACCATGAATCTATATCTCTCAGATAGCACTTGGAAGCGTTGTTGGCTTTGAACTTTCATGGTCATCTAAAGAATATTTTCAAGACGGAGGAATGGGTCAACCCGAGGTCCGGGACCGGATTTGCAACCAGGGTAGAGATCCCGCCGGCTCATTCCTTACTTAGTCTAGGCACACTGACTCACTGAGAATCGTTTACTGTGAGTGATATCTTGTTTCTTTGCAAGGTCAATTATCCTTGAAATTGCTGACCCGAGTCATGTAGTTGCCTCTGCATCCCCAGCAACAATCGACCAACACTTCACCAAAAAACTCAACTCTCTTCACAATGGCACCCTCAGCTCACCCTTGGCTCAGCCTCGGCTCGGTCAACTGGCTTGAGTAACCTGAGCAACTCACCCGAGCACTAAGCACCGAGCAGCTCACCTAAGCAGGCCTGATCCGTCCTGGCGATCCTGAGCGAGATTTACCACATCGTCACGTATTTTGACTTCTCGCTTTCTCACCAATCATACTTACTCTGACCTCTGTTCTCTCATATCACTTTTGTCAAGGTTTGACGATAATGCTCAAGGAGCCCAAACAAGCCCAAGGAACCCAAAGTGGACAATATCCAAAAATATACTCACTGCTTTGGTATAATATAAGTTTGGATTAACATAGATCCTTGAGGAGAGTACTTCTCTTTATTCTATAAATTCCTTCTCTATGTAACGGCCATGTTGCCTTTGTTAAACCCAGGTGGTTGGAAGCCTTCATTCCCTGGTTATCGAAGCCCCTTAATAAGTTCAAATCCACTAGTCTCCCACTAGTCTCCCAGCCTCTTAGCTGCCTTAGGCCCATAAGCTTGCCACCTTTCAATAGTCTTGTGATAGAAGCAAGCTTCTGGGCAGGAGGTCTTAGGTAGGGATCTATATCAGTTGTCACAATACCACAAGTGATATTGAAGTTGCGCAGTAATAAGTATCAAATACTATTTGAGTTGAGTACAAAGCTCCTATCTAAGGGAAATTACAGAAACTGTATAGTCTTTTGTACTATACAGGATATATTGGTTTATCCAGATCAGTCCATGATCCTTTTCATCCCCATGGCCCCCCTGATCCCCATGATCTATCACATGACCTTCTGCCACTGTGGTTCTTGTTGGAAATAAGTGCCTGAGGCTGACAGTGGCGATTCAGCTATACAAGGGCATTCAGCTATGCAGGGGGTATTTAGCTATGCAGGGCATCCAGCTAAACATGGGTTTTCAGTGGTAATAGGGGCTATTTGGACATGTATAAGTATAAGCCTTAGATTACTGCAAAATGGACAGTCGCTTGAGAAGCATTGCACGTGACTTTTGCTTTGAAATCTCAATAGTTCTTCTACTTAACTATAGCTTCTCTATATCTCTCTATAGAGTAACTAACTATTAAGGTTATATATAAGCACGTGTTTGTAATCTCCTATAGGTGCTCTATAGGTAGTAGTAAACTATAATAGTTATAATTATATATAATCTTTATTCTAGAGCTATTACTAATTGTTTTAGATTATTTAATATAGAAAACATAATAATATTATATTATTTAAGCTTGAATTAAAGTATATGGCTTTTTTTTAGAGCTATATATGGCCTTTAGAAGTAGTAGTATAGATATAAAAGAAGTAATAGGTAATTATAGTACTAGTAAAAATTATAATAATAATAAAAATAATAATAAAAGTAATAATAGAAGTAATAGTAAGGGTAATAATAAGAGTATAGAGAGTTTAATATCTATAATTGCAATATAATTAAATCTTATATATAATATTTATAAATAAAATTATAATATAAAATAAATATAAATATAATATATAATTATTTTAGTAAAATAGTATATTTAGTTAGTTCTAAACTAATTATAAAGTATAATTAATATATTAGAAGTCTAAAAAGAAAAGAGAAAGAGAAATTGATTTATATAAGTAAATTCTTAGCTTATTATATAATATATATATTAGAAACTATATTTAATATAAAATTAACTAAAATTTAATATAGATTATAATTTAATATTATATACTAATTCTAATATAAAGAAATTCGGTTTTATTTAGAAAAATAAATATAGCTACTAATATTTTTTATTAATATATTTAAGTCTTTTTAGTAAAATACTAATAAATAATAAATTCGCTATATTAATTATATTATTAATTTTATTATTTAAGCCTTTTTATTTATAAATATAATTAAAATAAAAAACCTTAAATTATATAATAATTAAAATAAAACTAGAGAACTTATAAATAAAAAAATAATTAGAGCCAAATTTAGGCTTTTAAAATTACTTAACTAAATATATAATATAATTATTTATATTTATAAATTACTAAATTATATAATAGCTTTTAAGGCTCTTATAAAAAGGCTTATTTTAATAAATAATAAAATAAAATAAAATAGCTAATATAATATATTTATTATATTTTTTAATTTAAAGTCTATAATAAAGAAATATTATTAGAATTATAAGAAAAAGCTTAAGCTAAATATATTAAGCTATTAAAACTAGTAAAAGCTTTATATAATTAAGAAATTTCTTAATTTATTTTTATAAGCTACTTTTATTATAAAAAGAAACTCTATATTTATTAACTTTACTTTCTTTATAATTAATATTTTAAATAAGTATTTATAAAAAATAATTATAAGTTTTTAATTTTAATTTTAATTTTAATTTTAATTTTAATTTTAATTTTAATTTTAATTTTAATTTTAATTTTAATTTTAATTTTAATTTTAATTTTAATTTTAATTTTAATTTTAATTTTAATTTTAATTTTAATTTTAATTTTAATTTTAATTTTAATTTTAATTTTAATTTTAATTTTAATTTTAATTTGAATTTTAATTTGAATTTTAATTTGAATTTGAATTTGAATTTTAATTTGAATTAATTAACTTTTATAAGCCAAATATAAAAAGAAAAAAAAAGAAAAAAAGCCAAGAATTTCTTTAATAGCTTAATATTATATATAAGGTTTTTAATAAGTATTATATAAAAATAAATATATTTTCTATTTATATTATTATTCTAATTTCTAATTTTATTTATTATATAAAATATATTAAAATATATTAATTAAAGAAAGAAATAAAGCTAGTTTTAATAAATATAAAAAAGCTTTAAAAAAGATATTAAAATAAGAAGCTAAATACTTCTATTATTTTAAAAAATAGCTTTTCTTAAAAAATAAAAGCATTTAATATATATAATTAGCTTACTTTAATTTTTTAATTAATTATTAGGCTAATAAATAAAAACAAATATATAAACTTTAATATAAAGAAATTATATAATTTTAATAAAAATAAAGCCCTTATATAGTAATATTAATATATATAAAAGTAATATTAGTCTAAACTTTTATATATAACTATTAATATTCTTTTAATAATACTAATAAATAATAAGCTAGAAAGAGTCTTTTTAGAAGCTTATTATATAGTAAACTAAAATAAAAGATATCTAAAACTGGAAATAATTAAAATATAAAAGTATATTAAATACTAAAAAAAATAGAATTTTAAATATTTTTTTTAAAGAAATATAATAGAAAAATTAACTAGCTAATTACCTAAATTAGATTTTCTTATTATTTTTTATTAAGTTTATATTCTTTATTAGACTCTTTACTAAAATCTAGTATTATATATTATAGTTATTATAATATATAATATTAGTAGGAGTTAGACTAGAGCTAGTAAAATATCTAGTATTTAAGAAAGATATCTAGTATCTAAATAAGGTATTTATAGTTATCTAATAATTATATATAACCCCGAACTTAAGCTAGTATATAGGCCTATATATAGCTTATAATTATTTAGATCCGAGGCTTCTTTAAGATTCTGTTCTTTCTTTAGCTTTAAATTATTAAAATAGAAATAGTCTAATTATAATTTTTAGGTTCTAAATCTTATACTTATAATATAATTCAAAGCTTATTTACTTTTTAATTCTATAAAGAATTTAAATAATATTTATTTAAATAGTTTTTAATAAGTATAAATATAATATATTATAGCTATTTCTATACTAATTAACTAATATTAGAATAAAGAAAAGCCCCAGAATAACTAGATAAGAAAGCCCTAGACTAGCTAAATAAATAAATAGGCTAGTAATCTTATTACTAAGTAAAGACTTATAAGAAAGCAAGTCTCAAAATAACTAGATAAGTTAGAAAAAGCTATAGTATAAGATATTACTAGTATATTACTAGGAAGTAAACTAGAGCCTCTTATTAAGTTTCCTGAAAAGTCTAAATATTCTATTAATATTTATAATAAGAATTTTTTTTTTAAAGAACTAAAGAAAAAAAGAAACTTGCTTTATTAAAAATAAACTTTTAAGAGTTATTTCGGAACCTAGAAGCTTTATATAAGGAAATTATTATATTAATTCTAAAGATATATAATATACTTGTCTATAATAAGAATTATTATAATTAGCTAAGAGAAATTAAATAAGCTCTATAAAAGAATAAAGCTATTATTAAGAACCTTATTATATAATTTACCGGAATAACTAGTTCTTTTATTCTAAAAAGT